CTTTCCCCTTTCCCCAACAGGGATAGGTGAGAAGAATGACCACAAGTCTGAGTTTCAGTCTATTGCAGGATTTCTCACCCCTGGAAGACTCCCAAAACATAGAAGCAAATTACAGCAAGATCCTGGAAAAGGAAACCTTTAGTTCTCCACAAAAGGACACTGTTGGTTCTCTTTGTTGAGGTCACTCCAAGCACAGTTCCCAGATTTGAGGCTCCTGCTCAGATCCACTGTTACTTCCTTCTTCTCCCCAACATTCTCCCCCAACATGTGCCTCTTACTCTAGAGAAATAAAAAAACCCCACCCAAACATACAGTGTAAAACACAAGTTAATTGAGAGTTAGTTAATTCTCAGTGGAACACATAGCCCATTTTCAGGCCGTTCAGCTTTGGCCCTCTTGTGATCATGTCTAAGAGTAATGGACTTCTTTCTACAGCCTGAAGAGAAAGGATGCACTGAAATGGGCAATATCATGGTAAGGCCAAAGACAGACGTTGAACAAGACTTGGAGGCATCTAGGGACAAGACTGACCCACAGAAAAATACTTATGAAGTCACCAGGCTCTACAGGCCTAGGAAGCCACAGTTCCAAACTGGGGCCCTACAAAACACAGAGATTGAAGGATTTGGGTTTTTTTTTTCCAGCCCATTCTCCCTCCCACAGTATGACTCACTAAGCTTTACCTGGCGAGGGGCAGGAGCACTGGGGGAATTATCATCTTGTAGGATGCTGAGAGGAGAGCGACCAGTTCCACCAGATGTTGCCATGACTTTGTTGTTGGCCTTGCGTCTTACAGGCTTGCTCCCTAGTGAAGGAAGTAAGCACATCAGTGTATCACAACAAGGCTAGAGGGTCCTTGATTTTAAATGCCTCCTAGCCTTTATGATCTAGCTTGCTTGCCTGCACAGCAAAGACTGTTACCCAAGGACTTCCAGGTAAAGGGATCACAGAGTGGTTGAGGTTGGAAGGGACCTCTGGAGGTCATCTGGTCCAACCCCCCTGCCCCAGCAGGGCCACCTAGAGCCAGTTGCTCAGGACCATGTCCAGACGGCTTTTGAGTATCTCCAAGGAGGGAGACTGCACAACCTCACTGGTCAACTTGTGCCAGTGCTCGGTCACCCTCACAGTAAAGAAGGGTTTCTGGGTGTGCAGAGGGAGCCTCCCTCTGTTTGTGCCCATTGCCTCTGGTCCCATCACTGGGCACCACTGAAAAGAGCCCAGCTCTCCTTTCCTTATACGTGTTAATAAGATCCCCCGGAGCCCTCTCTGCTCCAGGCTGAGCAGTCCCAGCTCTCAGCCTCTCCTCATAGGAGAGATGCTCAGCACAGAGTTTTCTGAAGCACGGTCTATGTTAAAGACTCTCAGCACCACTCAGTCGTGGCACTTAGATGTGCTTCCCACCCTCACTCCCCAGCTCTTCCCAAGGAGAGACTGCAGGGTCCCTCTGAACAGGCCTCCACAATTACAAACCTGTCTCAGAGAGGAAAAGAGCTGACATTTGCCTCTTAAAGCAGTACATTTACCTCTTGATTTTGACTACAGATTGAAAACATAGTTTTTCAATTCCTGACAGAGATCAGTTCGATAAAAGAACCGTTCCCAAAGGGGCCTCCCATCTGCAGAGCCCCAAGGCCGGGCTATCTGAGGCAGCAGAAGACAGCGGAGCAGGGGGAACGGGCAAGGTCTCTGTAAGCAAGCAAGCCCGGAGAAGGCACACGCACCAGAGGGCGTTGAGAGCCCTGACCTGCTCATGCCATGGACCGTGCAGCCCTCCAG